CTGGTGGGGGCGGGGGGGGGGTTGAAGCTTTCCAACTAAACAGTTCTGGGGCTATTTGCTGCAATGTGGGGTGGAGGGCAAGAAAAGGGCAGAGATGGGAGGGGAAGATAGGAAGTTGGAAGCAGCCCACTATATTACTGAAGCTTGGGACAGGAAGAGACCAAGCCTGGGATGGCTTGGAATGGGATAGATACTTAGCTAATGATTGATAAAATTCACTTAGTTGCCGAGATTGTGGTTGCTAAGTAAAATAGTTGTGTGACATCTTGCTTTTCAGTCACAGTGACTTATGGTGGCAAACCTGTCCCAACTATGTTCAAAAGTCCAGGAGTACTTGTGTATGAATGCATACATATACAGTAGTATAGAGGCCACCTGATTCCCAACAACCCTGGGCAGCCAAAAAACAAGCAGCCATAAAGAACATGAAGACAAAAAAAAAATACTTTTTGAAAACCATCTAACCATCACCCTGTCCCAAAGCCTGAGAGAACAGTAAGCATTTAATAATCTTCCTGCATGACCTCAGGATGGCACCATCCAGATCTCTACAACTGTAGAAAGCAGCAACTCCACAGCACAGCTTTCACATGGTTTCTGGGTCCCAGTAGACAAGGCCCAAGGATAGGATCCAAAGCATATTGAATGTGCCTGATATCACTAGATGGACAAAAACAACTGGAAATAGTACCACAGACAACAACCAGGCCCAGCCTATGAAGGACTTTATAGCTGATAACCAGGACCTTGAGTTGTACTTGAAAGTCAATCAGTAACTAGTAAAGCTCATGAAACAGTTGGGTCACATGGGCATACTGAGGCATGCCTGTTACTACCCATGCCTCTGAATTCTAAATGAACTGTAGCTTCTGAGTAATTTTCAAGGGAAAGCCTTATACAGTGTGTTACAGTAATCGAATTGTGAAATCATTAAGCCATGAATGACTATCTGAAGGACCGCCTAGTCCAGGAAAGGATACAAGTGGCACACTAGATGTATCTATAGAAGGATTTACTTAGCTGCAGCTTCCATTTGCAGGAGCTGTAAATTCAAGATGACCCTAAGATTACATACCAGTTTGATGAACACATGCAGTCCCATCCAAAACCAAAGATGGAAGATCCCCAGGCCCAGGGAGCCCAAAGTCTTAGGACAGGATTTAACCTAAGTGTATTCCTTTTCCATCCAGTTCTGCACAACTTTCACATACTGGGACAGAAACTTGACAGCATCAACTTGCTTGTCCTGGAATTTAGATGCATTTTGGGGTATATGTACTGCACTGATGATACTTGACTCTGAACTGACCTCACACAGCATTTCTATGTATATGTAAATAAAAGAGTGACATTTGAGATGCTGTGGACTAACTGAACTAACAATACACATAGAAGAGAGAAGCATAGCAAAACAGTGCCCCCACTCAAGCTTTGCAGCTAGTCTAAAAGGATACCATGATCACCTGTATCAAAAACCACTGAGAAATCAACGAACAGAAGGATGAATCCACTACCCCATCTAATTTTGCCACAGATTATCAACAAGCATGACCAAGGCTGTCTCTGTGCTGTAACCTGCCTGAAATGAGCCCAGACAATTTGTCTTCTCCTGGATCCTCTAGAGCTGAAGCCCCACTTACCAAGTACATCTTGGTTCTCCAAGGAGTTGCAAGATATGAAGAGCCAAAAGAGATGCCTGGAACACTAAGGGTGGAAGATTAAAAGCTGGAGACTGAGAAGAAATTGTCCAGGGTTTTGATGACTTCTTGAAGAAAAGACACACCAGTGGAAAACCTTCCCCCTCAAAGAAGCAGGTATTGCAGGTCACCTCCTGGGCTTTTGACCAACCAGGAAAAATATGAATCTAACAAATAGGTAGCTGAACTCAGAGTTCAGGGGATCCTGGCCACTTCTTCAGCAGTGAGAACCACAAAAAAATCCTCTGGGACTCCACCTAAATATCTCCACTGGACCTGTCCAACTGGAGTCCAACTCTGAGTAAATCTGAATGATTTTATCCGCCAGATAGCAAAATGGTTCTTAAAACAGCATATCGGCCTTATTCACATTCAATCAGACTTGCTCCTAATTTTCTACCACTAGTGCTTCAGGCATTTCTTCTGGTACTTCATCAACTGCACTGCAGGAATGATGCATAGGGACAGTCAGCAAAGGAGCAATCCAATTCAGGACCTCAGCTATTTACCTGTTCTAGCTGAACTGCAGCCATATCCTCATGGAAAATCCCAAGGTCCCTCTGTAACCTATCCAGGTCCCAGAATTTGTGAAGAATTACTTCCTTTAATTGGAAAACTCCAGTTAATTTTACAAGAAGTTTCTGGCAATTTTATTTCCTATATAATCCCCAGAAACTAATGAACTAAGTTGCTGGGCAACCAGCCAAGACTTCAGCAGCAGATCAGAATTTTTTAAAAAATGATCTTTCAAAAGTGTGAAATTACCAGCTATGTGGCATGCAACAAAAAACTTTCTAGAAAAGCAACAACTCATTACCTTGACAGTCTAGTGCTCTTTTTATTTGTATACACTCTAAGGCAGGGGTGTCAAACTGCTAGCCCACGGGCCGGACGCATCACAAGAAAACCACGCCCATCCCATTGCAGCAATGGGGGAAAAGTTCTGGTATATCACGTGACGTCGCGAATTTGACATGTCTGCTCTAAGGCAATACATGATTTTATTGGCATATTAATATGAATGATTTCATTTAAAATATCCACTTTTAGCAAGTGAACTGGCTTGTTCATTTGCTAACACCAAAGATAAGGAAAAGCAGATATCATCAGATATCATCACTTTGTAAAAGCAATATTGTCGGATAGGTTGATTAGGGAATTGATGCTAGCTAAGTCAGGAGAATGGTACTCTGATGTTTCCTCTAATTTCATAGCAACTGTAGTTATTACTTTTACACCACACTGTTGATAATTTATCTCTTACTAGATATGCAAATATATATGTATTGGCCTGGGTCAGATATATAAGTGTTATTACTTTAATTCTTTTGTTATAATCTATTACATTTTGAATTACAAGCTTCTCAAGGTAAATATGCATGTACAGTATGTATGCATGTACCTATGAATGTATGTATCATATTTATATGGCTGCCTATCTCATGAAATGTGACTCTGAGTAGTATGCAATCAAACCATAAAATCAACCTTTTTAAAAAAACTGAACAAATATAAAAATAAAAATTATTATTAAAAGGCTTAGGAGAAAGCATCAGATACCATAAGCAATGGAACCACCTCATCAGATCACCATTCCCTTGTGACCCACAGGCCTGTTGACACAACCAGGATTTGAGGGACTTCTGGAAGTCCCGTCAGTAGAGATAGAGGCAGTCTCACTTTGGGGATGAAGTTTCACGAGTAGGTGCCAGAGCAGAAAAGGTCCATTTCCTGGATCCACCAGATGTAACTCTTTGGCAGAAGGGCCAAAACATACCTTTTCTTCAGGACCTCATGGGATGGGCAGATGTAATGTTTGCTCAAATGAACTGATCCCCATGGCATGAAGGGTTTTAAAGATCAAAACAGCACCTTGAATTGGACCCTGAAGCAGTCAATGCAGCAGATGGGACAGGCATGTAACATGTGCCACTCTAGGGCACACAAAACTGCTCACTCCACCACCTTCTGTATTAGCTGAAGCTTCCTGATACTTTTCAAGGATAGCCCTATGTATTAGATAGACATTAAAATAGTCTATCCAGGACACAAGTGAACATGAGCAGAGCTCCCTGTTCAGGAACAGATGCAACTGCAACATAATACAAAGCTGTACAAAGACTTCCTAACCATAACTGCCAACTATTCTTTGAGCAAGAGTCATGAGTCTAGGAGGACCTCCAAGATCAGCCCTGGTCTGTCTGGTGCAGTACAATGCTACCCAGTACCAAAACTGACAGGCCCCATAAAAAATCAGAGCCATTCAAACTTGCCAGGATTAAGTTGAAGCTAGTTATTTCCCAGTCAGATCCCCATAGCCTCCAGGCACTTGGATATGATATCAATAGCATTGCTTACGGGGCAGAAATGTATAATTGGGTATTATCAGCGTACTGATAATACCTCACCCAATGGTGACAGGTAAGCTCACTCAGCAGCTTCAGAGTAGAAATTGAATAGGCACTAATAGAACAGAGGTCCCCAACCTTTTTGGTTTGGCGGCCAGGAAAGGGAGGCAGGCACTGTTACGCATGCACAAATTGGGCAGTTCTAGCACCATCAGGAAGCTCAAGGTGTGCTAGCGCCAACAGGAAGCTCAGGGCAGTGCTAGTGCTGATGGAATGCCCAGGGATGGGGCGGTGCTAGCACCAGCGGGATGCTCGGAGCGACGCTAGTGCCGGTAGGACACTTGGGGCAGGATGGTGCTAGCGCCGGCGGAATGCTCGGGGCGGTGCTAGTGCGAGTGTGGGGGATGAGTGCACGCACACACGTGTGCACTGGCCATCCTTTAATGTGTCCCGGTGGCCAAGAAACTATGGCCCAGTAGTGGGCTACAGCCCACAGGTTGGGGATCCCTGTAACAGAGCACTGAGCCTATGGTACCTCACATAATAAGAGTGGAGGGCAGAATTTCTCCCCCCCTTCACCACCAACTGTATCTACTCCAGAGAAAGGAGAACCAAGACAATAGAGTGCTGCCCACCCCCAATCCCTAGACCTAGTACAGAAGAATACCATCAAAGGCTGCTAAGAGGTCATGGACCATTCCTGTCCAGCTCTTGCTACCTAAAAGCATGTCTAATGCTATTTTCATCCCATACTCAGACCTTAATGCTGACTAAAAGGATTGAGATGACTTATAAATATTATTAAATAAACAAACAGATGCTTATACCGCATTAAATTTATCAGCCTTGATCTCATAAGACCTTTGCCTATCTTTGATAGCGTTTTTTAACATGTCCAGCTACCTGGTCATATTGGACTATTTAGAATTTTGAATTATATATCAGCAATACTTACAAGGTAATATGTTGGGGTATCTGTTTTTATCTCTGTTTTCCTCTTTGTTTGCCATCTCAAGTGATCCTTGCAAATATCCAGGTGGCAATGACTATAGAAAATATAAATTGTTTGACTTCAAATAGCAATCAATAACAGAGTTGATGGTTAAAATACATTTTTATACTTCATAAAATTTTATATTATCTATATCAGAATATTAAATGTCATACATACATCCTTAAAGTCATCTCAAAAATTACTGAATGCACCAAGTGAGGAACAAACTCTATTCCTACACTAGATAGTCCTTTATTTTTTTTTTGCTGTTTTTTTTCTTGTGTGATACAGACTTCTTATCTGAAAATAACTGAGGCCTTAACCACTACACAAAACTAGCTTTTCTCACTACTGAGTTAAGGAGCTACCCATGATTCATGCAGGCTGTAACCACTGCAACCTTTATCCTTCCTCTAAAGAAGATAGTTCCAAATCACTGCTGAATGGTATTGATTCACTGAGTCAGTGTTTCCCAAACTTGACAATTTTTAGGCATGTGGACTTCAACTCCCAGAATTCCACAGCCAGCGTTGCTGGGAGTTGAAGTCCTCATGCCTTAAAATTGTCAAGTTTGGGAAACACTGCACTGAGTGAAGCCAATCCAGACTTCATAGACAAGAGAGCTGACTTTATCTTCTGGCTTTGTGTCACCAGGCAACAGGGAAAACATCAACCAATCGTAACACTGAAGCCAGAATGAAGGAGGCCTGATTTCTCAACTCTGCCTGGCCTTCTTTGAAGGATTGTTTGTCTGCTTCTCAGCACAGACCCCCTGTGAGAATTAGCTCACTTCATATTCAAAAATTAATATAAACTCAAAATTAATTCAATAAATTCAAAACCACACAGAAAGATACCAAAGCAGAAATATCCCTCAAAAGAAGAGAAAGATATTTCCAAGATCCTGCATCTGGTTAAGTCTTATAAAGTGGGAGAACGAAAACTGATAACTTGAAGACCTGACACTAATAAACAACAAATGCAATTCTGTCAGAAAATTACTGTGTATAATTTCAAATTTAATTTGCACCTAGCATACTCTTGGCCAATCCCTATATCAAGATCTGAGCAAACACACAGGCCACTCAGTATAACCAGGAGAGGCAAAGGGAGACAGGAGGAGAGGGAAGGGGGAGGAGAATTAATTCACAGATTCATTTTCCTCATGAGATATAATAATGGAGCTCTGCTGTCTTTCTGTTGACGCCTGGAGAGAAACTGGTTAAAAAAAAACGAACAAAATGGGAGGATGGTCATGAAAGGGAACTCAGAAAGAAAAGTGCTAATGAAAGCAGAAAATTATGGGAGGGAAAAAAAGGCTGATCTGAAGCTGGATAATGATGGTAGGGTGAATTAACCTGCCCATCCCTTCCCAAATACAATTCAGATGACACCCACAATAAGTCAGATGACCTTTCACATTTTGCACATCTTGAAGCTGCGGCAAGAGAGTGTTAACTTTAAATCTGAGACATCTAATTATAAATTACAGCTATTTCACTCAGCGAGAGCTTAGGATAAACTGCAGGTGAGGATCAGGTTCTATAAATACTTCTTGGTTGTTTAATGGAATAAAATGCAACCCGTAAACTACTTACTCTATTATTATATATATCTCACAGAATTGAATTACATAGGTCCAAGTTAGACAGGACAGAATTTATGTTGTTTTTCTACAACTAGTAAATGTCAATTTACAAATAAATGTTGTATTTCTACAACTGATTTTATAAGAACTTAGGGTATTTTGATGGAGACTTACATTAATCTACTTTAACCCATTTATATTACTGCTAAACTGATCAGAATCTCTCTCTATTGATCATATGCTATTTGCAATACGAAGGAAGATCACCCTTTGGTCTTACTGCAAATACAATAACAAAAGTGAGTGTATATAGACGTTTGAAAACCCTAATAAAATAATAAGGGGAACAAAGCTTATAACTTATATAGAGAGAGCAGGGCTTTTCAATCGGTGGTATGCATACCACCGGTGGTACTTTAGCACATGGTAGATGGTACACAAACCCTAGCCAAGTGTAGCGGGGGACAGAACGAGGTAAAACAGTGCTGCACAGGACTGAAGGAGATCAGCTGGAGCTGCACACCTCAACAGAAACCCCAGGATCTATGCAAGCGGCTGCATGCTGATTGGAGTTTCCGGCGCACCCAGAAGAGAAAAGGAGGAAGAGGAGGGTGGAGAGAGGAGAAGCTATAAAAGGAGCAGGTTTTGGTGGGAGAGGAAGAAAAAAAAACACAGAGAAAGAGAGAGAAGAGTCTTTTGTTAGCAAAGTGGTGAGGAGAGAGCATGCGGCCTTTGTGAGCAAAGTGTGAGTGACTGAAAGAGTGAGCGAGGAGCTTTTGTGAGCAAAGTGTGAATGAGTGAGAGAGCAAGGGAGAGGCTTTTGCGAGCTGAGTGAGTGAGCAAGCGAGAGGCTTTTATGAGCAAAGTGTGAATGAGTGAGAAAACAAATGAGAGGCTTTTGAGAGCTGAGTGAGTGAGCAAGCGAGAGGCTTTTGCAAGCAAAGTGTGAATGAGCAAAGTATGAATGAGCGAGTGAGAAGCTTTTGCGAGCTAAGTGAGACAGTGAGAGGCTTTTGCGAACAAAGGGAGAGTGAGCAAGCGAGTGATGGGCTTTTACAAGCAAAGGGGGAGGGGGAGCCTTTGTGAGTAAAGGGTGAGAAAAAAGAGAAAAGTGAGAGGGAGAAGGGAAAAAGAAAAGAAAAGGAATTGACTTCTGACTTGCTCTGTTGCAGTAGAAGGAAGCATTAACATTGAATCTCAACTTTTTACTTTTCCCTAATATTATAAACAAATGAATCTAACCAGTAAAGCCCAACACCCCCCCCCTTTTTAGTCAAGTTTTTGATACCTTGCTAAGACTGGTGGTATTCAAATATTGTTATGTCCTAAAAGTGTACAATCTGTGAAAAGGTTGAAAAGCCCTAATATAGAGCCTCTCTGTGAGGAAGATGGACAGTTAAGAGTTTGATTGATAAATAAATAATCCTGGTCTTAATCATCATTAGGTTTAAATCAGATGTGCACTTTGAAGAATTTTCTTTGAAACCAGCACAGACGAGACTGTAGATTTAATGTCTACTAGCGAATAAGGAAGTCTCTTATATAGGTTACATTCTGTTGCCACAACATAAATGTGTCATATTTGTTGCTTCAATATGTATTCTTGCTTTGGCTTTGCAATTTTTTTTTTCTTTAAACAGAAAACAGTCACACACACCCCCCTCTCTCTAACACACACACACACACACACACACACACACACAGAACATAAAATAAATAACTGAAACTATAATATTACTATAATATACTATATATTATTTTGATACTCTGGTTTTCCTTAATTTCACTTCAATCTATTTGGCAAAAATAAAAGTAAGAAGTGAGCTTTTATGGGAGCTTTAAAAAATTACTTTATCTTTTGAGCATTTTCTTTTCCTTTGCATAACCAAACAAATTGTGTAAAACTGGAAAACTGAACTTCCCTTTTTTATGTGAGGCAAGGAGATTTTTTTAAAGGCTTGTTTCTATTTCAATATTTCTCCAGAAAGTCGCTTGAGAAACAAACACAAAACAAGCATAAAATTAACTTTCACACCCATTTTAAGGATGACCATTTTCAATGTAGATTCGCATTTTTGTCTTTTCCTAACGTATTTAGCCACACAACTCAATATACTAACATTAATTCAGACTTGAAAAGGCAAGTTTTAAACACGTAATCATAATTGCTGACATACAGTCCTGCTAATTACGAAGCTGCATTCTAAAGGGCATGATTCCATGCCTGGAAGTTTAATTGGCAACCTTTTCACCTATATAAACTTAAAATGAATCTAAACATGTGATCATCATGGCTACATCACAGAACTGCTGAAACGAACCAGAACTGAAGGTAAGTTCACTTTTATGGAACTGGCCTTCAAAAGCCAGAGAGAGATTATCTATCAGTTATTTTCCAGCCCCACAACCCTCTTCATGCAGCCACCATGCAGCAGGAAGCAAAAAATATATTATGAACTCTGGCTGAAGTGAGACATTATATTTAACAAGTTTTTAATCAATCCTTCTTAACTTGGTGCCCTTGAGAGTTTGGGGCTTCACCCTCACTATTTCCAGCTTCCATGAGAGGGAGATTGAAACGGGATAGCTCTGTTATGGTTATCTCTCTTCTCCATTAGGTGTCTTTAAAAAGTACTTACTATTTCTTTTTTTGTAAATAGTTCCTAGAAGAAGGCAAAAGTAGAGAGCCTATTGCCTTCCAGATGTTTAGGTCCACAACTCCTACAATTGCTTGCTATTGGCCTCTCTGGCTAGGGCTGATGAGAGGTAGTTATCAAACGTTCTGCCACTATAGTAAAAACTGAATGGCTTTTAAAAGGCAGAGCTTATAATTCTGGAAAGAAGCAGGATTTATAAATATGAAAGTAGCGAAGTATAGGAGAGACTAACTAGTTTCACATAATGAGTTAACATCCCTGTTTTATTGAAATAAACCACAAAGGTTAGGTTTAAGATTTAAACCATGGTTTTCAAATCTGAATGTTTGGGTCTAAATAACACATTAAGGAAGAAGCAGTTATATTGCATTATTATTTCAGTATGAATCTTTCCTTTATCATCTGGTTTTAAATGTTTTGGAATAGTTATGAGGTTCACATAACCTTAATTCCCAAGACTAAAATTTAAGGATTTTGTAAAATGTAACAGTTCCTGGCGGTCAGACATCATATATTATTATAGATAGTAATAATATAGATTATTACTCATGATAATGTAAAACATCTGGAAACATGTCAACCAATTTGCCACTTAGCTGAATAGCAGCAAGATATAGGATTGGAAATCTCATTTCCCAAAAAAGTAGAGACCCCTTAAAACTCCGATTTTGTTAATAATAGATATAATAAGAGTTTACACAGCATAGGAGAGTGCAATATCTAAACAATCCCAGAGCATGAAACCGATAAATACAAAAGCAACTTTTATTCTTCATTGAAAAAAATAATTTGTTCATTTTATTTGCAATCTTTCATTTAAGAAAACCAAAATGAAGTAACAAAATAAGGCAACCCACATTAAATTCTTCCCGGAACAACTTCCCATCATCAGCTGCTCTTATCCGGATTTCATCTTCCAAGAGCTCTACTGGAATAGGAAAATACTTCCTTGGGCCAGAAGGAGACTGTCTGAGAAGCATCACCCTCTGCTGTTCTGTCAAAAGGAGATGAAAGAACACTGTATCTATGTATTTATATATCATGTTTCTAAATACCCACCTCTCTCAGAGAGGGACTCTGGGTTGTGTCCAGTCTAATCAATATATAGAAAATATATACAATTAACATTAAAATGTGAAAATTATTTTAAGTTTATTTTTAATTATGATTATGACATTATAAAATTTCAAAAAAGGTTTTTAAAAATCCAAGATAGCCACAGCATTAATTAATACAGGCAGGGGGACTCTCACAGGGCCAGCCAGCCTCACAGGTGCGTGGTCTTCTGTGCCCCTCTTGGCAAGGTCACAGAGCCAAGTTTTGATTCTTTTGCAGAAGGCCAGGAGAGTGGGGTGTTGCCTCACCTCTGTGGGCAGGATGTTACATAATGTAGCGGTAATGCCAGAGAAGGCTCTTTTCCTAGGTCCAGCTAATTGAAATTCTTTGACTGATGGATCTGCAGTATATCTTCCATGATTGATTGAGTGAGATGGGCTGATATAATGGGGTAAAGTCAGGTAGGTAGCCTGGTGCCAATGCCAGGTGATGACCAACAGCTTGAACTGCACCTGGAAACAAACTGGTACCCAGTGCAATTCATGGAGGAAGGATGTTTTATGTGACCTTCAATGGGCACCCAATACGGCTCACGCAGCCTCATTCTGTAGCAGTTGAAGCTTTTCAGGAGTAGCCCCATATAGAGTGCATTGCAATAATCCAGTTGGCTGTATTATATGCATAGCCAAAAAGCAATGTACATTTTACTTCCATTATATACTTAAAAAACCCTTAAAAATAAGACCACATCTGTACAGCTAATATAGATGGAAAACTTCACAACAATTACTAGTTTTACTAACTTTAGAGCCATGGTGGCACAGTGATTAGAATGCAGTACTGCAGGCTAACTCACTGCTCACTCCAGATTCAAGGAATCAAGGTTGACTCAGCCTTCCATCCTTCCGAGTCCAGTAAAATGAGGACCCAGATTGTTGGGGGCAATATGCTGACTCTGTAAACCACTTAGAGAGGGCTATAAACTACTATGAAGTGGTATATAAGTCTAAGTGCTATTACTATTTACAGTCTTTTCAAATCCATTTTTTCTGAAAATGGATTTTAAAATGACAGACTCCAAGAATGATGTAGAAAAGGATTATATAAGGGATTTACATCTGAAAGTCCCAATAACTAAAGAGGACATATAAATAATAAATCAGAAGAATGATTTAGAAAGTTTTCTTATTCTGGATTTACAAAAGGAATGTTTTAAAGTATGAAGCTGATAATGCAAGAAATACATGTGTTATTGTACTGTATTGTTACATGAAGAAATTAGCTGGGGGGGTTAAAATGTGTTCAAGAGTGTTCAGCATGTACAGAAACTAACTCAATTTTCTTTGACCTTCTTCCTTTATATGTTAATTCATATATTTCTTTAGAGTTGTTATGTTTTCATTTGGTTCCTTATTTAAATAATTATGAAAACTGACTTCATGAAAATTTACATACAAAATTAGTTCTACATCTACCACATATTTAAATGAAATTCCTGAAATTATAACTTAATACAATGCAATGTTTTAAAAAAGATCTTTCTGAATCAAATTGTACTATAAATGCAAACATTAATATGTGAACAAAAATATGTGAACATAGTATGTGAACAAATCTTCTCTAAAGTGTAATAGTTATCTAATACACGAACAACTGAATAACCAACCCTGTAAAACTTATTTGCTTCCCCTTTCAACATTACATTATAAAAAGAAGTAAATCATATACAGTTAAATAAAGAAATAATTACCTTGCTCTTCTAAGATTCCATTTGGCATTTTTTTATCAGTAGAATTTACAACCGCTTTTCTGTGTCTTCGGAACCTTAATAAATATAAGAAGCATTTAGAAGACCACAGTATAGGTCTCAAGATAGTAAATAAGTAACACAAATATTCTATATTATGGCTCACAAACCAAGTAATTCTGGAGAAGGATCTTCGAATCATTTTTTTCGAATTATAAATGTTATATTGTAGTTGATGCACAGAAATTGTGTGTAACATCCTCCATCCACTACACTGATTAATGTGGGAAACTACAGACAGCACAGCTGTGGCTATGCAACTTTCATTTCCTTAAGAGATCACATGGTAACAAGAAATGACTAGTTCCACATCAAGAGTCTGATTCATACATACCTGAAGAAATAGCCAGCTAAAATAATTAAAATTATGAAGACTAAAATCAGGATCAGCATTGAAGTCAGTAAATGTGATGGCTGACCATTTTCTCTTGGGGGATCTAAAAATCAAAAACAGAAACATGAGCTGGTGCTAAATTACCAATTGATAACAAATAGAAAATTAGTGGAACAGAAGCATATAAATTATACATTGGATTTTGTAAATGATATTCTTCTGACACTACCAGATATAAAGGAAATTTAGTTTAAATATTTTAAAGAAACAAGTTAAAGCACTGAAATATTTTGGAGCTTTTTTTCTCATTAGAATTTATATGTACTGTATATACAGGTAGTCCTCGAATTATAGCCACAATCAGACCCAAAATTTCTGTTGCTAAGCAAAACAGTTAAGTAAATTTTGCCTCATTTTATGATCTTTATTGCTCCAGTTGTTAAGTGAATAACTGCAGTTGTTAAATTAGTAACACGGTTGTTAAGTGAATCTGGTTTCCCCATTGATTTTGCTGGTCAGATGGGTGCAAAAAGGGATTACATGACCACAGGACACTGCAACCATCATAAATGTGAACCAGCTGCCAAGTATCTGAATTTTGATCACCTGATTATGGGGATGCTGCCACTGTTGTAAGTATGAAAAATGGTCATGTCACTTTTTTCAGCATGACATTGTAACTATCGGGGACTATCTGTACAATGACAGATATCACTCTACCTCTACTTGCACTGGAGTACATGTAAAATCTGAACAAGCCAATGTAATATATGTTTTCATTCATTGCAGGCCAAAAACCAGAACTGTAGTTGAGGAAATTTGAAGAAGTAGAATGTAAGGAGAACACAACAATAATTCCCTATGCCCTGTTTCTGAATGAATGAAATAAGATGTCAATTTTGTCAAAACTATTAATAACCAGTTAAGCTCAATCATCAAATTATTTTTAAAAATTAAATGGGAATTAATGTTTCTTTCTAGTATCATCCTAAATCATGGTGTATTTAACTTCTTTTCTACAAAGGATAGGAAAAGTAGATATGATACAAGTCTAGACTGTAGTATAACATTTAAACAGTTCAATATTGCGAATGATCCCTCATGAGATTAATAGCAACTCAAGAAGAAGAAAGCAAAAATGAGTTATGGCAAAAGGAATAAAAAATAGTATAGTAATAACACATTTGTCACAATGATAACATGTTTTCAAAATATAGTAATACTCAGAAGATACTCTTCATGTCAAACTATGTCAGGATTTTTAACCCAACCTAAATATTTAAGTACAGAAGAAAATTAATTGTTTTTACCTCTGTTTATCTTTGTCTTTAGCAATCCTACAAATAATGCTTATTAGATGGATTCAGCTTAAATATGAAGTTGAAAAAAAAGTTTTTGTGCATTGTCAGATTTTTCCTGAACATGCTGATAATACATACCTCTCTTGCTTCTCAGAAATCTTATTTTGGCTATAATTTTGTCAATAATCACTAATTTCACTGTTCAAGGGAATGAATCTTTCTTAAATAAGATTTACTGTGGTGAATTTCTTTATTCATTATGTCAAACTACATAAGCCGTTGCAAATTATATATTAGAAACAATACTATGTGAAAATTGACATTATCTCATAAGGATTTTACTAATAACAAAGAACATCTTGCTCAATGAAAATGATAAGATAATTTTTTGAAAAGCATTTTGACCATTTTTTTTTGAACAGCATTCAAAAATATACCCATAAAAATGTTTGTAGAGTAGGGATTTTGTGAGATTTACAATGCTATTTCACTGAAAATCTGCTAAATGTAAATTTGAAAAAAAAATTATGCAAACTTTGCATTCATAAATTTCTCATTCCATAGTATGCTTTAAATGACAGTTCATTTTATACACTTCCTGTAATACAACATAAGGAAATGGTGTTCTCAAAATTACAGCTTTCAAGTCTTCGCCCCTCACCAAGATACAAAAGACAAGAATAGTAACAAAGCAACTCTAACAAAAGATACACTAGAAGTGCCCAGATGAATTGGGATCCATCAGATTTAAGATTTATTATTTTGCGTGACTTCAAGCAAATCAAAAGAAGCAAGAGATGAATTGAAATAAAAGTGCAAACTATATAACCGAGTGGGACATAGATAAAAAATCAAGCAAAGAGCAGAAATATGCAAACTAATTATCCTCTGAGATAGCATGAACACTTGGGTATTCCTGCAGGATAGAAACTGAAGCTGAAAGAAAAAGAGAAAGCAGAAAATTGAGGTCACATAAAACAATGCTTTGTGTATGAATGTATTCTGAGTTTAAGTAGTGCAACAATATTACATTTAATGTTCTTAATTTTAGATTTTATTTCCATGAACTACCACATTAAGATTAATCCTCTTTATTCTTAGTGTAATAGGAGTGAAAAATGTATTCTTTCTGCAACAGGCCAGTGAATAACGAAGCATCCCAAACAGGAAATCAGCAACACAAAATTTCCCCAGCAATTCTTTACCAATTACTATTTTGTTAGTTACAGCAAGATAAACCAGAATAGCAAACAGATAACCCTGTCACATTCAGCATCAAGATGTTGATGTTAAAACATTTCCAGAGGTAGCTTTATAAATCAAATCAAATAGAAACTGAACATTCCATTATTCCTGTTCTTAATATTTTACTGTTCTTAATATTTTACTGTTCCTGAAATAATTATTATACCATAGTTTACCAAAAATTAGACATATGATTTTTGGGGTCTTCCAAGTATGAGTAGTTTGGAGATATGTGGTTCAAATTTGGCTACAATTTTTTACAGTTATTTGTAATTACTTTTATGGCCATTTTGTGACTGGTATGCCCTCCCTTGGTAGTTGTTTTAGGGCACAGGTCGGCAACCTGCGGCTCCGGAGCCGCATGCGGCTCTTTGAGCATTCCCCTGTGACTCCCAGTCTCCTCTGCCTTTGCAGAGAGAGACAGAGAGAGGCAATTGCACTTCCCTGCTTCTCTCTCTCTCTCTCTCTCTCTCTCTCTCTCTCTCTCTCTCTCTCTCTCTGTGTGTGTGTGTGTGTGTAAAAAAGAGAGTGCACTTACATTAAGCTTTCTGAGCGGAGCTGCTCCCTTTGCTGCGTCTCTGCAGGAAGCAGGAAGCAGGAAGGGCAGGAGAGAGCTAGCTAGCCCAGCTAGGCTGACTCAGGAATTCTGGGAATTGAAGTCCATGAGTCATAAAAGAGACGAGGTTGCCTACCCCGGAGGTTGTTGGACAACAGCTTGAAGCTTGCCAGGTGAGCAGCAGATAGGAGGGGGGGAGAAAGAGAGAGAGAGAAAGAGAGAGGGGGGAGGGGGAGAGAGAGAGGGGGGGAAAGAGAGAGAGAAAGAAAGAGAGTGGGGGAAGAGGAGTGGCAGACCAAGGGCAGATAGAGAGGGAGAGAGACAGAGAGAGAGAGACCCTTTTGACATCTAAAATGAAGATAACACTGCATATATCCTTTTTTTACCTTTGTGTGTATGTAATTTTATTCTTTTAAAGCATTCTCTTGGCGACCATTGTTTTAATAGTATGGATATTCCCAATAGTCATATTTTTACTTTTTTTTTTTTTTTTGTGTGTGTGTGTGTGTGTGTGTGTGTATATATATATATATATATATATATATATATATATATATATATGCGTCTAAGAAAATTAAAAACGTGAACCCTGGGAGTGTTCATGGTGAGAAATAAAATGATCACCAGGGTAATAAAAACTATAAAATTTATTAAAAAGCGCCTAGCTTTCGCCGTCACCTGCCGGCATCCTCAGGGCTAGTGCGCCAGGGAGTGAGAGAGTCACTTTTATAGGTGTAGTGAAGTCTGCGCACGACTCCTCGACCTCGTCATCGGGCCTAAATAGGGTGACTGCGCACGATTGGTCTGTTCCTTTCTATTCATTTCAACTGCACGTTCATCCTCCTCCATCCTTCTTTCCCTCAATCTTAGGGTGGATGGGCAAATGTCTCTGTAATTACAATGGTCTCTATGTTTTAACCCTTCTCCCTCGGGGGTAGGTGGAAATACACATTTCATGTTTATTTTGCAATCCTCCTTCGTTTCATTCTTCCTATGGCAAGTTTTTCTTTTGGTTTTGGTGTTTTTATTTCTTATATGGATGTCATCTGGGTGATCCTGTAGGTCCTTTCGAGGTAGTTGTAATCCACTAATGGTCTGGGGCTGGGGGGAAAGCCGTTCAGTCACGGAGAGGGGGGGGGGCGGCTGCCGATCTCTCAATGCTGGGGAGTGGGTCCTTGGGGCGCATTATAGACTTACGAAGTCTATAATGCTTACAAAGTTGCCTGAGACTTACACCTCAGGCAACCACACGCGTTACTCTCCCCTACATTCACAACGTCTCAGAGGCCACTGCAAGGATTTTGGCACCGCACAAGATACAAGTGGCCCATAGACCCAACCAAACACTGCGGGCAGCTATAATGCGCCCCAAGGACCCACTCCCCAGCATTGAGAGATCGGCAGCCGTCTATAAGATCAACTGCATGGACTGCCGGTCTAACTATGTTGGGGAGACAGCTAAACGGATTAAAACTAGGGTCCATGAGCATAGGTTAGCAGTGAAAAGGGGAGACCAACACTCCCAGATATGGGCACACATGGCGGAATGAGACCATAAATTCAATTTCAGTGAGGTTAGCATATTGGCTAGCGATAATACCAAGGGGGGCCGCCTACTCAAGGAGGCATGGCTCTCGGATGACAATTCTATTAATCGGCATGTGGACCTGTGCCCGGCATATATGGCTTTAAGGTTATGGAGCACAAATAATCAAGGACAGTACCCCCGACGTCCCAATAACAACTTTAATGGCACTAAGGAGGAGGAATCAACCCCCCAATTGATCCAAAGTAATCCGAATGAGGAAACACAATCGGAAAACATTTCTACCATGTCGGCAACACCATCACAGCCCCGAAGGATTAAAGGGACTGTGGGACTCAAAACCCGGAATCCAGATACCACAGATAACCGAGGTGTCGTGACCAGTATAAAGGAAGATATTACGGTTGGAGGAGGGGAGAGACCCTTGGATACGGCAATCCATCCGCACATGGAAG